TAAATTGAAATATTTATTAGGTAAACTAATTTTCAAATAAATTATTAAAATGATTTTCCTATGATTTTTTAATTTTCTGGTGTTATATACGCAGATATTCTTTTTAATTTTAAAATTGTATAAATCTATTGTTTATTATAACAAAATATGCTTGTGATCCGGATAAAATATAGGCCCATTAGAGGCCCAATGACATACGAAGAAGCCCAAACCCATTAAAGATCCAAAGCAAAGCGCGATGGACAAACATCGCGCATAAAGACGCGATGCCCTCACCGCGCTGGACGAGACGCGATCCCCATATCGCGGATAAAACCCCCTTAAGGAAGCTAACTTAAGGCCCAAGGCAATCTCACCGCGCCTTTATACCAATAAACGAAAGACAGCACCAGCTTGCCGCAACTCTACAACTGGACATTAGAAAAGCTATGGCTACTCAGGTCCTAGCACTGACCTGCAGCCCAAGTCTGGCCACTCAGAGGTCAAGCCGCCATGCTAAGGCGGCATCCTAAACATTATATAAGCAGGGGGTACAACCCCAAGGTACGATGGGCCTTTACATTAATAGCATAAATACTCCTGCCTCTGATACTGACTTAAGTATCAGAGTGTCATCGCAGGTATCCCCCATTCGGATCCAACGTGCTACAACAAAGGACAGAGACAGAGTAAGATCCAACCTCAACTCTAGGCCCAAGACCAACAATAACAATCTATATCTCAACCGTGTGTGATTTGGCTCGATACATATTAGCTAGCCCATATTGTATTTGGTCTGATCAGTTTGTAAACGTTTAATGCACTCTATATTTGAAGCTTATTTTAATACTCAATATTTATTTGAAGTCCAATATATAGTTTATAATGAAGCAAGGATTTAAAATGAAAACGAATTCACGAAATTAATAATAATAAAGGAGCTCACGATTCACTTGATACTGGCTCAAGTTTTTAATATGATGACAAATTAGAGGTCGGACCATCTATTAAATTTATTTATTCTCTCTGTTTATTCAATTAGTTACAGTTAATTAAAATTGATTTGACACGGCAGGTTGAATTTGAATCGGTTGAACTTGGAATCGGATCTTAATTAGTCAGATTCAATCAATTAATCAGTTTAACCCAATGTCAATTTTTTGGTTGAATCGATTTTTAAAGTTTTTAACAAAGTATTTATATTCTAAGACAAACCCATTCTTTGGCAACCCTGCTAACGTGTCACTTCCACATTCAATTTCAGCTTTGCATTCACACTACAAAAATTTAAAAAGTTTCCTTCTTTGGTAAATCAGGGAATAAAAAAATTATAAAAAAAATTATAATTTGGAATCAAAATCGATGGACACGATTTGCTATCTCAAATCAATGGTGCAGATTTGTTATCATTTGTATTGGCACACAGCTCATCTTATTTTTATTTTTTTTTATAACATTAAGGGGCGAAGTCCCAAACAAAAACAAACAAATAACCAGAAACAAAAAATAACTATCCAGGGTTTATATCCCTACAAGAGGAAATTCCCTGAAGATCGTGATCAAATAACTAAGCAAGGTGAAACGACATAACTCTATGACTCCAGAATCCAGTATCTTTGTGAAGAGCAGACTTGGCTAACCAATCTGCACAGGAATTAGCTTCTCTTGGAATATGAGAAAGCGTTACCTCCCAATCCTGACCGATGAGTGCTTGTATCTTAGCCACTAAACGAGGCTGACAAGCTGCATTGCAATCAGCAAGCAAAGAGAATACTTCAGAAGCATCTCCTTCTAGTTCCACCTTCTTAAATCCCAGTTGCCAAACCAATTCCAGACCTTTTAGAGTTCCCCAAAGCTCCGCCATTAAAGGAGTGCAAGCACCAATATGATACTCAAAGCCTCCCAACCAAGAGCCATCATCAGATCTGATAATCCCACCACAAGCAGCCACCTCAGTATTCCTTTCAACTGCCCCATCAATATTAATCTTCACCCAATTTAGCCTTGGAGGTTTCCATAAACTCATACGAGTTGGATGAATGCTAGTAGTAGCCATAGCCTTCCTACCCATGCAGTTACGAACTTCCTCTATATACATAGCAATTATGTGCGTTCCATGGGTTGGATGCTTGAAGTTAGTATCATGGACACTTTTGTTCCTCCATCCCCAAATGAACCAGCAAGAGATAAAAAAGACATCACGCCAATCATCTGAATTACTTTGATTCCAAGCTTTTGAGATATTATTTTCAACCCAATCTCTAAGATCCAAGCTGTAGAATAAGCTTTGCCGATTAGCTGAAACCAGAGAATTCCAAACACTTCTAGCTTGCTTACAATCTCTTAGAACATGGAGATTTGTTTCCAACTCACCAGGACACATTTTACAATGACCAGATTCCCCACTCCATCTAATGCGGTCATTTCCATCTGATGCGCTAGGAATAAGAGCAGCTTGGATCCTTGCAACAACTTGATCATTGAGATATTGACGAATATAGGGAAAGTTCCATTGACCAGTATTGCTGTTCACGAAGGCACTAACAGGGAGATTCAACTCTAAACCTGTTGGAGTACGAGTAGCCAGAGAGGCAAGACACTCAGTTAAACCCAACCAATTGTCTGTCCAAAATAATGCATCATTACCGTCTCCAATCTCCTATTGCATTGCTTGAAGAAAAGATGGCCAAACACTACACAGATTTTTCCAGAAGTATGAGTCATATGCTTTATGATTTACTTCCCTCCGAAGATCCAAACCTCTCTTATATTTACTTGTTACAACTCGAACCCACAACGAATCGGGCGAAGTAAGTATCGTCCATGCAAGCTTGTGAAAGAAAGCCATATTTTGGACACGAAGGTTAATCACCCCTAAGCCACCCATTCTCTTAGGCTTGCAAATATTATCCCATGCAACCAGATGAGATCTCCTTTGACCATTTTTATCACCCTAAATAAAGGCACGCTGCAAATTCTCTATTTTATCACAAATGGCTACAAGAAGCAGACTGTGTTGCATTTGAAATATAGGAGTTGCTGAAATAACGGAGTTGGAAAGAGTAATTCGACCGGCAAAAGATAAGACCTGGTTACTCCAACCAGATAACTTGTGCCTAATTCTTGCAACAACATCAGCATAATGGTCTTTGGTTACTCGACCATGTTTCATCATGGACCCAAGATATCTCCCTATATTGTGAGTTTGCTTGAAGCCACACACATTTGTGATATGATCTGCAATGTGAGCATCTGTATTTTTCGAGAAAAAAATACTAGATTTCGAAATACTAACATTTAGGCCAGACATTGAACTAAAAGTCTCCAAGCAATCCACTATAACTTTGATTTGATATAGAGAAGCTTCTGCAAACAGCATCAAGCTCATCTTATTTTCAAATTTGAAATTTGGAGTTCAAAATTTAAATTTGAAAACCTGACAACTCAATTAATGTTCACCTACTTTTTCCATTGGAATTGTTAAACATTTAACAAAATATACAAGCCTTCTCATTCTTTCTCCTGTTCTTCGTGTTATTTTTTTTCCCAGCTTCCATATCAGTGCAAAATCACATCCTTTTTGTTTTTCCTGTTCTTAGTCGTTCTTTTTTTCCCCACATTTCATATCATTCTTCGTTTTTGATTTTCTTGCTGCTGTTCTTCTTCGTTTTAAAATCTTTTTTTCTCCGTTGCGATTTTCTTGCTGCTGTCGTCATTTTTTTTTTAAATAGCTGAAAATCAGTTACAACACACAACTTCAAAGAATCAGCTTCTTCGTTCTTTTGATCGTCTAACCAATATGTTCTGAAAATATGATTTTCTGAAGGATGTCAGTCCTGCCAAGGAGGACTGGAGGATTAAGGTGAAGGTGGTTCGGGCTTGGAAAGTTCCTAACTTTCAACGTAGAGATTTTGACGACAACGTTGAAATGGTTTTATTGGATGAACAGGTATGTTCTTAGCGTTTTTAAAATCTTGGTTCTTACATTTTTTAAATCTTCCATTTTTAAATCTTGGTTCGGGCTTGGTTCTTAGCTGAATATTTGCTGTGTTTTTTGTAAGGTGGTAGGATCCACGCCACTATCAAAGGTTCTTTGTCGGTGCGGAAGAAAATTCATGAAGGAGACTGCTATTTTATCAAAAAATTGGAGTTGGATTCAATAGCGACGTGTTCAGGCCAACCAGGCATTAGTATCGTTTGTCTTTCAATTATAGGACTGATCTTAGATCAATTGTTGATTCTAATATTTCTGCGAGTGAATTTGATTTTGTTAATTATGACATCATTGAGAAAGAAACATCTGACTCTCCTTATTTAATGGGTAATATAATTTTGCTTACTGTTTTTTGATTTTTTGATTTTTTGTTTACAAACTCTTTGCTGCCCTTTTTTTCTTTGTAGACGTCATTGGTTTAATATCAGGAATTGGTGAAGTTTGTTAACGTGTGGTTTCTGGTAGGAAGACCAAAATGGTTGTGTTGGAGCTTGACAACCTCAGGTATTGTAAATTTAATATTTAAAAAGATTTTTTTTTTTAGCTGTGTTCCCTTATATTTTTCGTGTATTACTGTAGGTTTGGGCTGCAACGCATATGAAGGAGTCACAAGCTGGAGTGCACTTTGTGGGAGCATTATGTGGATGAGATCCAATCTTTTATGGCAGCCAGCGACACTCCTCAGCACGTCATGATAGTCCAGCTAGGCAGGATGAAATGTTTTAGGGGTATGATTTTAACAATCTTTTTCACAATACGTTATTCTTTTGTGTTCTGTTTAATTCACATTTCTTTTTCTTTTCGGTTTTTTTTATATGCTCAACTCGATAGGTAAGGTTGGGTTAAACAATACAAAATATACAACGAGGATTGTCATGGATTCGAAGATCCCAGAGATCGTTGAGTTCAAAAAATGGTGTATTTGTTATTCTTAAACTCATTTGACAATTTATTTAGTTAATCATTTACGGTGCATACATTTTCTCTCTATAGTCTTTCGACTGATGGTGTTGAGAGTAGTCTGCGGATGACTCAGTTGTCTACTCAGTCATCCTATTCTTACGAAATTGATTTCTTGAAGGAGTCTGACAAGAAGTCTATCAGTGATGTGAAGCTTTGTGTCGAGGTAAATATAGAATTTTTGTTTTTTCAAATTTCTTTAATTTCTTGAATAATATCAAGTCTGTGTGAATGATTTTAATTGTTTTCCTGCAATTGCTATATTTGAGGTTACAACTTGCATCACGTATGAGACTATAAAATCTATTGAGAGCATATACAACTGGTGGTACAAGTCTTGCAAAAAATGTCCATTTTCTGTTTCTGAGGATTTTGAAAAGTGGTACTGTAAGAACTGCAAAAAATATTGGGAAGATTACTATCTGAGGTATTGTTTTTAATCGGTTTTTAAATTGTCTTTAATCTGTAAGCTTAATATTTTTTTCTGATATACAATTTTGCAGTCGCATAGGTTTAGTGTTCAGGTAAGAGTTGTGGATAACACGGATTCTGCATCATTTCTTCTGTTTGATCGTGACTGTGTGTCTTTGCTGGGGATGAGTCCTGCTGAATTGCGCGAGCTGCATTTCAAGAGGGTTTGTATTATCGTTGCTATGGAATATTTATAATGTATATTTTGACGTAGAGGATTCCATGTAAGCGCTGCAAGTATATTTTGCTATAAATTGGATGATCATTTTTTTTCTAGGGTGCTGATTTGGATCAATTTCCAGAAGAGTTAAATGTTTTGAATGAGAAGTCCATGTTGTTCAAGCTAAATATCAAGCAAAAGGATTTGAACTTATACAGCGAGCCCAAGTATCAAGTTTCTAAAATTTGTATAAGCGAAAACATAATCTCAACGTTCCTTAAGTCTCTTATCTCTGACGTCGATCCAAATGTATGTTGCTTCTCTATTTGTGTTGGGTATCCATTTTTCTTATTCATTTTGTTGACTGTTGTTGGTTATTGTATATAACAGGGTGAAGCAAATTTTGAGGATGCACGCGAAAATGAAATTGTATCATCAGAACCGGAAAAGGCTGCGGTAATCTTTCCTATTTTTTTGAAAATTTTTATGTTATGCATTAGTCCATCCTTGACTTACCTTTATTTTTTTTAACCGAATTATGAATAGGATGTTGAGAGTCAGACCTGTGATAGTGCTGACGTTGGTGATATCTCTCTGACAATGTTGACACCAGTGATCCATTCTCATGATTCCATTGCTGGAGAATTCAATTTTTTGGCTATTCAGACAGCCAAAAAAATAAAGCTTGAAAAAGAGTTACATATTTTCAAATCTATATTTATAATTCAATCGTGTGGCATGTATATTTTTTTTCTTTTCATAATATAATATGTTGATCTGTATTTTTTTTTTCCTTTTTTAAAAAAGATTTGATGCAGAAGCAGATGAGAATACCCCGTAGATTGGTTTACTGTGTCTGAAGAGTGGTTTTTTTGTGTCGTGGAGACAAGATCTTTACTGAAGTGTGGTTTTTTTGTTGGAGTTACATGGTGAACTGTTTAAATCGTTTTCTTTATCGTGACTTAATTGAATTCAAAACGTTTTCTGATGTTTTGTTGTGTTTAGTTCAAAACAATAGATGCACACTTAAGGAATGTATGTTGATATATTTGATAAACGCTGTGTTTCTGCAATGGGGACCTAAGTTGTTGATCTATGTCATGTTATGTTATCTTTTGCTGTGTTCCCTTATTTTTAAAATTTCAAGTTTGGATTTTTATTAAACTTTGTTCTTCTTATTCAAAAAATGTCTTTTTCATCCAAAAAATATAATAAAATTTGTAACTACTAAAAACATATTACGATACAGTTTCAATCTAAAAAAAATAAGTAGGTTGATTCAATTTTTTGTTTCCTAATTTTAATGTAACAAAAGAAGTAGTTTTAATTCAAATTTATGTTTCTTATTTTTATTATTTAAAGTTCCAAAAAAATAAAATAAAAAATTCATATTGTAACTACTTATTTTGTTTCCTATTTTTAATGTTGACGTCATAAGTACTTTTAATTCTAATTTTTGTTTCCTAATTGAAACTTTAAATTTACAGTTTTAATTTTTTTTAAGATTTGATCATTGGAATTCAAAATATGTCTTTTTTTATCCAATTTTTTCTTTCCTATTTTTAATGTAACAAAATATGTAACTTTAATTCAAATTTATGTCTCTTATTTTTGAAATTTAAAGTTTCAATTTTTATTAACCTTTGTTGATTAATGGAATTCAAAGCATGTCCTTTTTTATCCAAAATAAATAAAACAAAATAAGCACTTTTAATTCAAATTTTTGTTTCCTATTTTAAAAATTTAAAGTTTGAATTTTTACTAAGCTTTAAACACTGGAATTCAAAATATGTCTTTTTAAAAAAATTCAAAGTATCTTTTTTTTGTCCAAAAGAAAACCTCTATAACAACTAAAAATTGTGTTTAATTTGAAAAAAGTTTGTATTTTTATTGTCCTTAATTCAGGCAAGGACACGATAATAGGAAGAAGAAAATATTCTCTTTAACAGGTTATTTCTTTATTTTTTTTAAATATAATTGGATTTTGGAACGACGGTCTATCACTATCCTGATCTTTCATCAGGACGCTGCACCTCATACAACTCATTTAATGATGGTTTTGAAATTTTAAAACCAGTAGTTTTGGAAATCGATTGGCTTACTTAAAAGTTTAATCATCATTTTGAAATTTGAAGTACAATTGTTTTGGAAATACAACGTTTCATATTCCATACTTCCAATAAACGTGTTCAGCCAATGTGTTGCAGAACATTAATGACATCGCGTCCTTCGCAGATGGCCAGCCGAATCATCGACGTTAATCGTTTTTTTGTCTTCGACTTATGTTCCGTGTATTTTTCATCCAAAATTGTTCATCCTCATATTTTCCCATGGCTGCTTCATCGTCACAAAAGCGAATGAAAATGGAGATCACCGATGATCAGTCTCTGAAACATCTGTCGTCGGATGTGTTGCTGCTGATATTTGGAAAGGTGGCATCTCATTCAATTGAGGACATAACTGACGTCAAGTTTGCTTGCTGGGAATTTTATCAACTAGCCGAATCAAAATATGTCTACGAACGTGTTTCGCTTCGCGTTGGGACCATTGGAGTGGGTCACAAATGCCAAGCCTTTCCTTCACCGAGTTAGGGTCATTAGCAGTGAAGAAGAACAAGGTGAGGCGTACTACGACCCAGCGCAAGTATACAAAAGGTTTCGACAAGTTCAGTTTTTGAAGCGTTGTAGGGAGAGTGGCAATCCGGAGGTGTTGTATCGTGAGGGCTTGGTCAATTACTTTCGAGAGACATCGACTGCGGATGTGCAAGCTTTGGCTCTTCAAGGCATTAAGACTGTAGCGCTGAAAGGTCACCACGGTGCCAAGTACGCATCTTCCATCATATTGATGGCCAGTGTTGATGAAGATGAGAGGTCTGTGGCCTTTGAATTTTTTCGTTCGCTGGATAATAAGTGCCTTTTGAGGCACTGCAGACAACGTGTAAGACTTTTCATCAGGTCCTTATGGGTGCGCAAGGAAATGGATTATCCCGGAATTCCCATTTGCAATCCCAGCATATGTGAAACGCGATTCACTGAGGATGACCCTTCCTCATCAGAGAACCATGAGATTAATAACATGCTTGGGAATAGGATTTGTCAACAGTTGCAAGCCGGATTTTGAAGTCTACTTATTTTTCATAATGACTTTAATCTAATTTAGTTTCTGGTGGTGTTGGTTTAGGCTTTTTTTTTTTATCTATTTTAGTTATTTTATGTGTTTTGTTGTATTTCCTTATCTTTCTATGTTCTGTTGTTATGTTATTTCCAATTTCAACTTAATGAACGTTACTGTTTTCTACTTTTGATATGTGTTTTATCATGTACTGTACAATTTATTTCAACTTAGTTGACATGTCTGTAGAGTATGATTAAATCTGAATGTCAAGAATTGAAAAAATTATACAAAAAATTGTTTTGAGATAAAAGGCACGCCCGACTTAAACTGATGGTTATATATATAAAATAAAAAAACTCTTTCTGTGTTTAAAGTTGCAATATTTTACTCAAAACACTTCTCAATAGTCAACGTTTTCAACTTCCTATTATCCCCAACGTGCGATTTCGTTTATGGAGTAAATAATGGACAAGATTCTATGCATTCGAACAATAAGACTAATATTAGCACAAATTTTTTTTATTCTGTATCAGATTGAATTTCGAGTCTTTGGCTATTGGAGTGCACTTGGATAATAAATAATTTAATCAAGTATTAATTTGAAACTACACAAACTGTTGCTGATTTTTTTAATTACTTACATCAATTATAATAACTAATCCAAATTTTCATATGTGTTCTTCAGCTTGTGATCTCGACGCATTACAACTATGAATTAGTATGGCTGTTTGTTGGTTTAAAAAGGTTTTGGTTGGTTTCCTATTTTGGTTCAACAAAGTTCACGACAGATTTAAAAAAAAAATTATTGTGTAATGCGCGTTGCAACAAACCAATGAAGGAATATTGGATTGTGATATAGCATTGCCATAAATGACTCACATGTGCTTCATTCTTTGTATAAGTTGTGACTGAAGGGTTTGCCACTTAATGAGTATCATTTGCACTATAATCATTATTGAATGTCAAAGGTCATGCATCAAGAAATTTCCCTGTTATCGAGTGAGCATCCCCAAGTGGGGAGTACATTATTGCCCATCGGTTTTGACACCAAGAAAATAAAACTTTTGGCGCCAACAAATCACCTTTCCCAATTGTTTTAAAAAAATTATCTGTCAAGGCAAATAAAAAAAAACAGAAGGAACGTTTCCGCCAAGCTAATATTACCTCATAATATTGTCTCTTTATATTCCAACTGCCTACACTCAGCTGAACTGTGGTTTCAACATCCTCTTCTTGCAACAACAAGCGAGTTAATCAAGCAACACAAAACGTTAAATGTACGTTGTGAAGCATCTCATACGCATGTCTACACAGCAATGTCTAACAACGACGATGTATTCAAAACTCCTTCGAGGAAAAGAAGGAACCAAGGTGGCATTGAATCGAAACAGTTGACTGGTAACGTCGACTTTTGTTCTTGCATTTGACAGTTATTTCTCATTGTACTATCTAATTCATTGAAATCATTGTTGTGTAGAAAATCTTTTGGGGTCTTCTCCTTCCCACGTTGGCAGGTAATTTTAATTCGTCATAGATATTACTTGTCGTTAATGGATTTTGTATATTAATATCAACACAATTTAGTTAATTTTGATATTGTTCCTTTTTTAAATATGTAGCATTTATGAGGTATGCAACATGAGGAATGACAGAAGCTGCAACAAACAACGGCTACGTAATATTACAAATGGTCTATTTCATTGTTTCTTAGCGTAATATAACACACGATTATGATTATGATAAAATCGTATCTAATTCCTCCCTTACACACATTATTAAATCGTTTCCTTTTAATAGTATGTAAAGAAGAAATCTTCCATAAACTTCGATTAGTTATGTTCTAATATAATGGACTTTGTAAAAAAAAAATTGTAGAAAATCTTTCTCCATTAACTGCGTCGACAATTGGTAGGTCAGTTTATTACTTGGGTTAACTCTTTTACTAATCATTACTGAGTATGATTCTTTCTTTTTTTAAACACACAGCATTACTCAGATCACTGGTATGAGCTCGGATTTTATATGTAATAGACAACCTCTCCATGGCATAACTAACAGTACGTAACTCTCTTCCTCCTGTTCAGAGTTTTTATTGTTTTGGGGTAAAAGAAAACAGTGGAAAACAAAACAACCTAAACGTCATATTTTTTTTAACATGAGTTTATTTTATTGTATATCAATATAGAAGTTTTATTATTAATTTAAACATCCCATGCTTACTGTGATCCCTTCCATCATTAAGCCTCTAATTTTAAATTACTATCTTTGATAAAATTGGCATTGCTGTGTCGACATCTAATTTATATTATCTATATTGTGTAGAAAATCTATCTCCGTTTACTCCGTCATGTGTTGCCAGGTAAACTAATTCCGTTTTCTAATCGTGAAAAATTCAAGTATGTTATATTTTTTATAACAGCTTCATGGCATATAGAGTATTTTAAATTTTTTGCTCACCAATCAGTGCATACGGAAACAAAAAACATACTCCGACGGAAGGTAATGTTTTCTATAAATTACGCATTTCTTATAAATGTATAATTTCATATTTCATATCAAGTCTGTATGAAACTTATAGTTTTTAACGTTTTTTTTTTTTTAATTATATTTTTTAGATAGCAAAAATGCTAGATTAAGGCGGAAAGGTATAATGGTTCAAAAGAAAACTTCTGAGACATGTGTAACATCACAAGATATACCACGTATGCTTCACTTAACAGGTAATTC